ATTAGCCAAGGTTACAAAATTTAAACTGATTTCTTAAAGGGAGGCTTGAATATGACAACATTTATTGGTTCCCTATATCTAATGTCGTTTTTTTCCCACTGCAAAATGCAACTAATACAGTATAAATGTTTAAAATAACCTTCTAAACTCAATGCACAGCATTTCTGAGACTTCCAGATTGAAATTTCCAACATATAAATACCTGAAAACACATACATGCTCTTTGTGTTTTGACAATTACTTTATCCACCATCATTGGCTGGAGAGTTCTTTATCCCTAAGCCTTGTAGGAGACCTCAGCAAGTTTAAAATGTCCAAATATATTTACACATATATGTCCAACATATAAATTCCTACCAAATTCACTACCAAGGGTATTTCAAAACAAGTTTTCAGAAAACTTGGGAAGCATTTACTGCTACCAAACTTACTGTAGGTCAAGTTAGTCACTCATAATCCTCCCTCAAACAGATGTCAAAATTATTTTGATCATCCATGCTCAGGTCCAGACCTCCAGACAAGATGACCTGTCTTAGTTAACAGTATTTAAGTAGTAAAAACTTCCCAAATTTATATATAAAAAAAAAATCCTGATCTAATTTAATGATTTAATATGACCCTAGTTCTTTTCTTCATTAATTTTCTCCTGTAATTCAGGTCAGTGCAGGTCAAATCCTTTGGACCTTGAGCTTGGAAAGTACAGGTTCCACAGATGAGGTGTGACACTCTAAATACAACGGTTGCTCAAGTGCTTCATCAGGAAATTGGTTAATCAGTACCAAAAAAAAACAAAAAAAAACCCCGATCTGGCCTAGAGTTAGATACACCCACATATTCACTGGAATAGGTGACACCCTATCAAACTCATTACTAACATCTGTGTCCTGTGTTGTGGTTTTACTGTACTGGTTTTGAACAGGAAGCAGTATGAACTTTGCTAAGACTTTACACATTTATCACATTGATTTTATTATGAAAACAAAATGGATGTCATCATTTTCTAGCCATTCCATTTCAGTAAAGCTAGCCCCAGCTAACAACTCATAAGTGGACATAAGGTACATTACAGCTGCAGTAAACCAAAAAGTATTAATCCATGAATTTTGAAAAACCATCAATATAGACCTCACACTGTTGCATGTGTTCTTAGATCTGCTGGAGCTAAGTCAAGGGGGACACGGCAACCGATAAATAAAACTGACTTACATTGGGGTGGGGGGTCAAAATAGTTTTACTGAGAAAAAGGGTGCCTAACCGAAAAAAGTTTGGGAACCACTGTCTTAGATGATCCTAGTGGTCAGATTATCCTAGTAGCATCCAACTGAAAGACACGTTAGCATTTGATTGGCTGTTTCTTTTCTCTTACTACAGTATTCCACCCCTTGCAACTTAAATGCAAGAGACCATACGCTGTCCAACAAGGATGCAAGTTACTTGATACAACAGACTTCGATGAGAATGTTTCAGGTGTAATGCTGACCTTAGGTATTAATTCTTGCCAACACAGAAGAAGCTTCAGACAAAGCAATAGTTGTGACTGGACCATCTGTGTTCTTTCAGGAGTAGCAACTCCCTCACAATAACATACACAGTCCACTCCTGTCTGCCTTCATAAAGAGTAAAATAAAATTAAGTCCTGTGGATCGATGAGGCAGCAAAAATGTTGCGGCTCATTTCTTCTTGGTCGCTCTCTTCCCCTCTCCTTTCTTTGGTTTCCCCTTTCCTCTTAATTTCCTCAGGCGATTCATCTCATCCTTGAAGTCTTGATGCTCATCTCTGAGAAAGAAAAGAAAATGTGTTGTTAAAACATTTACCTTGCTTTACTAAACATTAGGTTTACACTAATGCTCGGAGTTTGTCCTTTTAACTGCACTACACTGACTAATTAAAAATCCCTACTTGTTTAAAATCACTGTTAAGCTACGTACCACCAATAAAACACTTCCTGCATAGTTGTTTCACATTAAAATCCCTCCAAACATCAAAGACTACAATACATCCCTATCCTGCTATGCTTTTAATGAAAAGATGAATTTTATTTTAATAAGGCAAATATTATTATTATCAAGGATCAAACATAAATCTTTGCCACAGATCATAAGTTGTGTCAGCATTACCTGAATAGTCCCATAAACCTGAGCTTCTGGGTCATGGCATAGTAAATCCTGTGCTGTGGGTACCAGTCATACACTTCTTTTCTCTTTGCCAGGGGCTGCTCCTGGAACAGCTTGACCACCTTCATAGATCTGGTATCTGTTGGATGCACAGCCTCCCCAAAGATCTGTGCACTCAGTCTGGCCATGCGCATGGCATAGTTGGATAGACCAGCCATGACTGCTGAACAGAGCAGAGACAAAACTTAATACACAGAGGAGACAGTTAAAACATAAAATCCTATTACATCTGGGACACTTTGCATATACTATGGCTACATAATCAATTATACAGTCATCACAATAACAACTCTACACTGTTAAAGTTGATCTTGTGATAAAGTGGGCTTTGTGTTTACACTGCAATAAACTTGTTAGTGCCGTCTGGTGGACAAATTATGTGATGGAGACACTATCTAAATCACCTTAAACCTTTCACTATCTTTGACTTTTTTCAGTACTCCAATTTCTTCTTAGTTACCTCTCCATATACAGTGGCAAGAAAAAGTATGTGAACCTTTTGGAATTTCATGGTTTTCTGCATTAATTTGTCATAAAATGTGATCTGATCATCATCTAAGTCAAGAGAACTGACAAATATAATGTGTCTACAAAAACAACACAAAAAAATTCTGATCTTTCAGTCTTTATTGAAGACACTCATTCACCATTCAAAATGGTAGTGGACAAAGTAAGTGAACCCCTGGAATTAATAACTGGTTGACCCCCCCCTTGGCAGCAATAACCTCAAACAGGTGCTTCCTGTAGCTGTGGATCAGAGCTGCACATTGTTCAGGAGGAATTTTAGCCCATTCTTCCTGACAGAACTGCTTTAGCTCCGTCATATTCTTTGGACGTCTCCCGTGTATGGCTCTCTTCAAGTCATTCCATAGCATCTCTACTGGGTTGAGGTCTGGGCTCTGACTTGGCCACTTCAAAAGGCGGATTTTGTTTTTCTGAAGCCATTCTGTTGTGGACCTGCTCCGGTGTTTTGGGTCATTGTCCTGTTGCATCACCCAACTTCTACAGAGTTTCAGCTGACGTACAGACATTCTCACATTATCCTGAAGAAATTTTTGATACACTTGGGAATTCATCTTCCCCTCAATGATTGCAAGCTGACCAGGCCCTGATGCAGCAAAACAGGCCCAAATCATGATGTTTGCTCCACCATACTTTATGGTTGGGATGATGTTTTCATGATGATATGCAGTGCCCTGTTTACGCCAGATGTAGTGCTGTGTGTTCTTTCCAAATAGTTCAGTCTTAGTTTCATCAGTCCACAAAACATTTTGCCAATACCGCTGTGGAGTGTCAATGTGCTCTTTTGCAAACATGCAGCAATGTTCTTTTTAGTAAGCAGTGGCTTCCTTCATGGTGTCCTGCCATAGATACCCTTCTTG